TTGTCTCGCTTCGGGGTGGAAGGCCAGCTGCCCCAAGATCCACGCCAGTACTTTGAGCCCCCTTTGTTGGGCCATGCTTTCCCACCCATGGGACCACTATGGTGGGATAAGAGGCGGTGGATGTCCTTAGCAGCGGGGTGCACGCCCGCAGCTCTTGCACGATGTAGTCTTTTCCTGGCCTTGCTGCGCTGCCGCCTCTGACGACGGTGCCACCCCGGACTCGCCGGGTGTTTCCCTATCCTGGGAAAAGACGTGTCAGAAGACACTGGGGCTACAGCTATCGGACTGCTGGTGTCCGTATTCTGAGCCCTGCCTTCTTATAGACGAGTACCAAACACGAAATCTTTTGAAGGCAAGGAACCCTCACATCTTTGATCGTGGCAATTTCCTCGCTCTCCGTTTTTGTAAGGTTGTCCCGTTGTTTCGTGTACAGTGATGTTGTCGAGTCTCGCGCCAACAAAACAGCTGCTCACGATGCCAGTGTTGGTCGTCATGCGAGCTTTGATGACTGTGATGCGCCATGACCCGGGCTCAAAACTCGTGCCTTTTCCATCAGAATCAAAGTCCCAAAGCGAGATGCGAGTATGTCAGTCATGCTTGTCTGCGGCACAGCAGTTATAGACATGCTTGAAACAGCCATCATCTCATATATCAGTCGCGTCCAAGTCACAACGCAACAGTCTTAAGACATGCTTTAGATTGCGTGAAAACACAGAAGTAAACACGACGTCACGTATCGTGCAGTACACAAACGCAGCGGTAGACTTCTGGAACCGGTTCGGTTCACACAGACCCGAGACTCCCTGGGCGCATGCGTGCAGAGGGGGGGGGAGAAAGAGTTGGCGAATCATGACGAGAGCCGGCTCGTCGCTGGGGACGCACCAAGCCCCAAGACACGGCTAGAGCAGGGGGACAACAACCCAGAGTGACCGGCCAACCCCACGCTGAACTTGACGACAGTTGCCGGGCCCAGGGGGCAAGAGGGGGGGCCACCCCCTATCATGAAGGACAAGGTGATCAGCGCGAGATCTGCGCAGCCTTTCGCGCCAAAGGGCTCCATGGCACCTGACTTGGAAACAGGTGGCATCGTGGGTCGGCCTTACCCTCCTTTATCGCAAAAACAATCGCGCACGAAGCTCCTCGGCAGAGGACAGCCGCAGCCAATGCGTGGCAGCCCAGCATGCCTACGACCGCCGCCACGCGAGAACCTCGGGGTGGACACCAAGCACATCCGGGGAGAGCCTCGCCATCCGCGTCTTCGTCGAGTACTATACGAGGAGGATCCCTGGACGAGATTCGCGACACCGACAGCAGGTTCAACCACTTGACCAAAACCTGGGCAGGTTTTTCCACCCACCGTCGTGGCCCCCCCGGGGCTGCTGCTTTCCGCCATGCACCTACGTTACCTGGGCGCACCACATCTGGGTGGGGGTCCTCGTGCGGGGCTCCCACTTCACACCAAGTTATGGGGGAGAAACTTTCTTCACGCCTCACGTCCCGATCCTACGCGCTAGACTGGTAAAGGGGGGCCGCCGCATGGGCACTCAGCTTGATCGACCAGGAGGAAGCCAAGAAGGCAGAGCCGGGGGTACCAGCGCAGACATGAGCGCGCTCATGCAAGGGGGGGAAAAAGCGCTCTCGCTCTCTGTCGAGAGGATAGCCGACACGGTTGGGCACGAGCGCGGATTGAAATGCCACTGGATGATTCATGCATGCGCGCCCAGGGTTTTAGGGGCCCCCGCCTACTGGTCATCGAAAGGGCAATTTATGATGCCGCCGGTCAACCAGATCTATCAAGCTGCACGACCCGCATCCTTAATAGCGGCATCCTCGTATGAACCAACAACCGCCGCCTGAACAAGCCGACGACCTGCTTCCCGAACAAGCTTTCTCCTTCTACTCGCCGAATGCCCGGACGGGGAGGACACAGAACGCACAGCCGCTCCAAAGCAACGGCCTCCACCAACCCCGAGCAACTCCGAAAGCGACTGGCCCAGCCAGGACGAATCCCCCACCGGAAGACAGCAATGACGCGGCGATGGTACAGGTCCTCCAGCAGCAGGTCCACATGGACAACTACGCCGTTGCACTATGCGGGGACGACGCCTTCCACAACTACAACCACACTGTCAGAGGAGGGGGCAGCCACAGCATCGTCTTCGCAAGCCGGGGGACCAAGGAGCTGCAGCCCACGGCAAGGGGGGAGACTTACACCGCAGTCCACACAGCAGGCCCCTGCAGTATTCGACAGCTACTCTGCTGGGAAACTAGGGAGGGAGCGAGCCGCAACGGCAGGGCTGTCGCTAGAAGAAGGGGGGAAGGCGTCCATAGGATCAACCCTGAATGCACGGCCGTGGATTCAATGGAAGTGGCGAGACACATCCTCCGGCACACGCTGGGGAGCGCTGGATCCGCAGTGAGCTACAAGAAGTCCGTGCCCTCCTAAAAGAAGCCCATGCAGACTTCAGAGCAGGGGGGTCAAGACAGTTGGGGATGGACGTGCTCGATGAGATCTTGCTGAACGACGAGGGGGACTTCGGCATCAGGGACGCTGCTTCCACGAAACTCTCGTGGGGGACATCAGCGGGGAGCTCCCGTCGCAACAGGCCAAGTCAAATGCCCACGAGCTGGCAGCAGGATACAGGGATGAATCGGCCCTGTTCCAGGCAGCCCGTGCGGGGGTACCACCCGCGACATGGACACGGTTGACGATGAACTTACGCCTAACGAAACCAAACAGGGAGGGGGGGCGCTTTGGCGCGGGTCAGCATTGCTGACCTGAACTCAGCGGAAGATAGCGGAAGGCAGGAAGGAAGGAGGAAGGAAGGAGGAAGGGAGAGGGGGAGGGAGAGACCACATCATTCCCCAGCTCTCACACTGTCCCAAAGGTGCAAAAACAGGTGGCCTCAATCGCGCTTGACTTAGTCCCTAATTAAGTGGGAGAAGAAATGAGAAGAAGACAGACCAATGTGGGTGGGCACGAGCATTGGCCCGCGCATGCCCGCAGCCAACCGTCACAGGTGACCAAGGACGGTGTTACTGTGGCCAAGGCTATAGCATTGGCCCCAGCGATCTGACTTCGTTTTCCGCTGCCAGTTTTCTTTGCCCAAGGAGTTCAAGAACAAGCTCGTAAATGTGGGAGCTTCGCTGATCAAACAGGCTCACCCCAGCTCTTTTAGTGAGAAGTTTCGCTGCGATCTGATCATCGTAGGTCGCCTCAAAGACAAACGACCTTGCCGGCGATGGCACGACAACGCGGTTATCTCAGTCCATTCCACCATCGTGGCTGAAGTGATAGGTTGTCAAGAGTTTGAGGTCGACAGTGCTTGCTCGTGCAATCTTCCGAGAAGGCACAAAGGCCGTTCTGTCCTGAGCAGTTTCGGGTCGCAACGAATTGTTGCAATTGTCTCCAGACTCGTGCCTAGCAATTTCAGTTCTCAGGTCGTGGCTGGAATGAACCCAATGGCGCTGAACTAATTCCGAAGTGGTGCGAGCATCTGCGACTTGCCCCCCAGCGTCCGAGGATGTCAAGCGAGGAATTGATTCCTCGGTCAAGATCGTCTTGGAGGCGAGTCGTTTTCACGCTCGTCATATTGGAAGTGGTTGGGATCATGAGGATCTGGAAAAGCGAGCGACTGACATCTCTTCTCCCAAGGAGATTGCACAGGCAGGCCAACACCCAGATGAAGATGTCGTGCTCCTGTGCTTGCAGTTTGACGCACCAGGTAGCCACCATCTCCGCAAATGGCGATGTCAAACTGCCAGACTTTTATAGGGATGTATAGGGCCTTTTAAGCAGGGTTTGAGATTCCTCCACTTCGTCTTCGTCTTCCAGTTTACACTTGGTATGCCAGGATGTGATCGGCAAGATGGTCGCAGAGGCTTTCGAAAAAGTTGGCAAGGCGCCGAAGTGGCTCCACTTCCACATGCCGCGATGAACTTGAGGCTTGCCTAGTCGTAGGTCGTAGGTCTAAGCTAGTCGTTTACTAGCCTGGTCGTCCAAGTACGGCTTTTGAGACGCATCCTTTCCTGTCATTGCGGCTCAGCTGGCCGGTCCCTTCGCTTCCTGGGCTATGGCGGCCATGTCCCTGCTTTCGAGCTCTGCATGCGCCAAGAGGGCAGCGAAGGACTTTCGGAGAAAATCTGCCGGCTCGGAATTAACAATCTCTCAGCCGCAGGAACGGCTGCCTACCATCAGCGAGGATGAATGCCAAGATTTCGAGCATGAGGCGAACCAGGTGCGCAATGCACTGCACGTTGAGCATTTCGCTGACACCGACCGTGGTCTGCTGACACTCAGATCCGCCAAAGACTTTGCGAGTCCTTCGGGGAACTCCTTCGCCCCTGGCACTTCAAATTCGGTGATGCCGCGCAAGGCCTAGTGAGGCTTGTGCGACACTTGCGGCCTAAGGCGGCGGAACCGACCCGGAAATGGGGCGTGACTTCATCAAGTTCTTGAAGGCCGGATGGTGCGACAGAGCCCACCACTGTCATCATGAAACACGCCTGCCACGGGCAGAGCTGTTTCGTCCACTCCCAGCACAAACGGTGGGACATCGCGAGTCCAAGTGAAGGGGCTGGCAGGCGGCGGGTTGTCTACCTAACCCAGAAGCACGAGCGAGCCGCGAGCTCTGGACAGAAATTTCACGGCAAGTTTTTCATACGTTGAGGGCGGCGAAGCAAAATCTGGCGGCATAGTTGTGGCCAGTTGTGGCATTTGCACCAATGAACTTGCAAGACACACACACAGAGAGTTATTTTCACTGGACACCGCAAACTAGCGGGAAACGCTTATAACAGTGCGGCATAAATCACATCTTGTTTGACCTCCCGCCTTGCGAGGCAGCTGACCCCTTTGGGCGGAAAGAAGCTCTTTCCTTTTTGGCACCTGCGCTGCCCTCTCTGGCACATGCCCAGCAGGGTGTTATTCGGGCCGCGATCGAGGTGGCCACAAGCTCTGCGGCTTGGCCACATGTCGAGCGACGTTTCTTCAGAGTTCGAGTGTGCTTCGGCTCAGCACAGGACAGACCCATCTTGCTTTCGGCTTTTCGTGGTTCAGTACTGGACTTGTGCCAGTCCAAATCAGGCCACGGAGCTCCTGAAGGATCATGGCTTTTTCTGTCAGAGCAATGCTCCGCTCTGACAGGCCACGAGATGCTCGTGCAACTCATTGACAGCGTTCCAGTGTTCTCTTTGGGCTTCATGGTCTGCGAGATGATTCAGAACTGTGATCCTCGATTGCAGTCTGACATCTGTGGCGTAGATGCCACACGTGGCATCAGATCTCTGGAATTTAGGGCCTGCCCCTCCCTTTGAGCTAAGAAGCTGCTCTCGATGCATCGCTATGCCTCCAATGTCATGGAGCCGCATGGACTCTTCTGAGTTGTTTGTTGGTCGTTGATTCGTGGAGTTGGGTAGACATTGTAAACTTACATGCAGTTCAACGGAAAGGGGATGAGTACTGTGGGCCAGATTTTTTGTCTTAGCTGGAGTGGGCTCGATTTGGTTTGGCTCAGTCTTGCTTGGCTTGGCTTGGCTCGGCTTGTCACAAAGAACGTTTTAAATGTTTTAATCCATTGCATTTGCAGCCTGACAACTTACAGCAGGTTCCAGAAGTCGAAAGCACCAACGTGCTGCGATTTATGGCTTGTCCAGTATTCTGCAAGCACAGCAACACAGTAGTAACTATACAGCTGTTGCAGATTCTGCAAGCACAGGAGTCTGCTGATTTTGCTTGCACGTGTGCATTGGCTGGAACGCTGGGAAGGATGGAAATTCGCGGCATGCGCAGCAGTGAGCAGCCCGGAAGATCCCGGAAGTATCGCAATTTGCAACGCTTTCAGGCACAGAAGTGCAACACTCGGACACAGGTACAGTCATTCGTTGCAATCTTACAGCATGCGAGCGCGCAGAAGTATGGTGACGTTTGTTATCTTCCAGTCACTAAGCACGAATGTCTGCAGCACTCGCAAGCACAGAGTATAGTGTCTGAGTTTGCAGCATGTCTAAAATGCGGGAGCGTAGACATATAGCAAACGAAATCATTTGCAGCTTCTAAAAGCACAGCAGCACTAAGTTTTGCGACTGTCACGTTACGTAGTACCATTGACATGCGGTGCACCAAGATCGATGCTGCTGCATTTCCACCCCTCCCAGCTAGTGGAGATTTCCTCGAAAGTGGTGGAGGCACATGGAATGTCTTTGCGCAGTTGTCACTGTTCAATCAGTGTCAACCCAGGGCGCATTTCCGAGAGAACTTGGCTGCCTTCCAAGGGCCTGGTTTGAGAAATTGAAGCTTGCAGTGCAGGCAGCACCGTCGCTTGCAAGAGATCCTCATGGAAGCCGCGTTCTTCAAACCTTGATTGAGCCACTTATCTAGGCTATCTAGTACTGTTCGAAGCTGCAGACCGGTGCGCACATTTTGATCCACAGTTCGCAAGGTACGGGAACCCCACGTGCCGCGAGCTCCTTTTTCGGAAACTGTTGCCCGAGATAGCAATGCTGACGAGCCTCCGTCGAGCAGATGTGTCGACTTGTGCAGCAAGTCTGTGCATGCCAGTGTGCGACGGCATGTCACCTTGAGGATGCATCGCACTGGATCGCAAGTCCTTCGGAAAGCGCTAGAAATCAGTGACGCGAATCTAGAGTGCGACTCCCAGTCGCAAAGCCGGATAGCAAGTATTGCTCAGAACAAAGTCAATCGTGCAGCTGGCATGTCAGGGCTGAGTTGCTAAGGCAGCTTATTGCTGAAGCGGTGCTGGAAGGGGTGCGCAACAAGTCCGTTCAGGTGCAACAGTCCATCCACAAGGTTTTAACTTTGGAGAGTCGCGCATAAGCCTATAAGCTTTGCAGGTTGCCAACATTGCCTGCAGCCGATGCGGGAGTAGCATCCTCCAACAGATCTCCACGTGCAGAAGTCCTGTCGTTGACGAGATCCACAGCCGGCTCGCAGAGGTGCTGCCGCGAGCACATGCGAGTACTCTGTGAGCTGCTGATAGCTGCTGTAGTCCGAAGTATGATCAGAACACATAGTTGGAGTTTCCGTCTTCAGGCTCTTCCCCAGTTGGAGAAGTCCAGATACGGCCGCCGGTTGGTACGTGCATGAGCCGTCCGCATTTGCCATTTGCTGTTGGTGCCTTAGTGACCTCGTGACGAAGCAGCAATACAGAGTTTTGTCGAGAGCCTCCGAAGCCCATAGCTCAGGTACAGAGACGCGGGCCGGTTCCGAGTCCTCGCTGCAGCTCGCTTCAGCAAGCACGGTGGCCTTTCCCATGTTCCGTCGCCTACAACTGTCGCGCTAGCACGAAGGTTGGAGATGGAGAAGCGCGCGAGGCATCATCACGAGCTGTTGGCCAGAGACACGTTTGCTGAGCTCTGGTAGACCTGAAAGTTCTGCAGTCTATTCAAGTTGTCGCATGACAAGCTTTTCCCGTGGCTGCTTTCTAGTCGTTTGGAAAGCCCCCCATCAGGTGTCGTGGCAAGCACCACAAAATAGTGCAAGTGAGCAGGACCGCAGTGTACAGACCATGAGGATGCAACCTGTCTCCAAGTCTTTCCGTGCAACTCTCCTTCCGGAGAGAACCAATTTTTGAACCTCTCACCTGAAATCTGCCTCACCGTAGATTCTCTGATTCTGATTGCTTTGCGCTTTCCTTCATCGAACAGTTCTTTGTCAACAGCCAGAACTGGCACTGTTGGCAGAATGTGAAGGCATGATCTCCTGAGGTATTCCATACTTGTAGAAGAGTCCTGAAGTTAAGGAAGGCCCTCTTACATGAAGAACGAGGAATATCCAGGTCGATGTCGACATCTGCTGAAACCGGATTCTGTCAAACTCCTGAAATCTAGAATTCGCCGGAACAGGGCTTGCGTACTGACGTACGTACTTGCGGGCTTTCATCAGTTGCCAGGTTCCCTCAACAACATGCACCGTGCACAATCGTTGTCGTGACTGCGTATCTGCCGTTCAGGGACTCTGCTCCAGATCTGGGCAGACAGTGACACCCCTGCCCCCTCAAAAAATTGAGGTGTCAACGAATGGTTGTCGAGATTTCAGGACACCCAGCTGCCCCAGTTGGCCGCGCAGCTCAGTGTTGTCGTTGCATCAACAGTTGTATTAGCCACTAGTGTCGGTCAGGTGAGGTCTATGGCCTGCGTAGTCATGGCTGGTTGGGGTCAATACAACTGGGGTGAGCAGCAACGACTTCTGTGGTCCGCTCGGAGGTAAATGAGGAGGCCACGATAGCCGTCGCGATCGCAGAGAGTGTCGTCGCGATCGGTTCCCCCCGGCTGCTCGCAGCTCCTGCGATGCTGCGAGGTCCGGCCCCCACAGCACAATGAATCGATCGCCACGTGTGAGGCCAACAACCGCAGTATTTCGATCGTCATCGTCAACAACAAAGACGATTGGATCGTGTCGGAGATGCTGACGAGTTCGTCCAGCTCCATCAACGTTCTGACGGAGCGGGACCAAGTGATGCCAGCGAGTTCCGGGTACCACCTTTCGCTCCTTGCGAACTTTTCGGTGGGCTCCCTGCTGCACGGGATCAAGTCGAAGATCGCATCTCGATCGACTCCATGAGAGGCTTTATCATGGCCGGTGCTCCGGGACACCTCGCCATCGTACACCGATGGTGTACAATGGCAATGAGATCCTGTTCCACTGGATTCTGCGAGGATATACGGGTCCACTCCGATCTGTCGGTGCAACAGCAGTGCGCTGACGAGCTGCTGATCCGTGACGTTGGTGTGGCAGGTTCGCTCATCTGTGGTCGCGGCCTCGTTCAACTGCTGGAAATGCCCCGCCTTCCCGTTCGAGTGTGGCGGTCGCACCTACACCGTTGTTCCTCAAGGCGTGGTCGTGGCTAGTGACCATGTGCTCTCGTGCTTGGAGCCCCGAATGAGCAGCCGCTCTTGGAAAGATGCTGTCGGCAATGATGCCCCGATCGGGTAGAGTTCAGGTGCCGGGTGCAAGGAGGTCAGCAACAGGATGGACCTGAAGTGCACTTCGGTTCCAGCGACATGCCTGACGATCTCCCATGGCCCGGCATTATACATGCGGAAACTCGTTGTCGAGACCCATGCGATCGCGTAGAAAGTTCCTGAGCAGACCTAGCAGTTCGCAGTGTTCGCGCAATGCTGCCGCCACGGACTACCGCAAGATCAGAGTCCTGGTCTGGTTCGTGGGCGGGCTTGAAGCGGGCAAGTTTCATGTTCAATGCGAAAGCAGATTGTGGCGGTGGCAGGGCAGGCGCTCGCCAAGATGAGGCGCGATGAGGAGGCGGTCGCGGCTGTTCCTTATGGCCCGCCGGCTCTCGCTCTGCCGGCGTGGGAACAAGCAGCCGAGGTCGGATGGCGCAGTTCAGAAGGCTTCCGAGTCTAAGTGTGTATTCTCGCTGAGATGGAGTCCCGGGCGCTCGCCCCTACACCCACCGGCTGTTCAGATCAGGTCGATGCTCGTCAGGATCGCTCCTGCGCTCACCCTGGCCCGACCCTGGCTCTATGCATGTGACATCCGGCGACGCATGCTTCCACGGTCGTGGTCGACGAGGCACACGCCCGACAACATGAGGACGCGTCAGCCGCGTCGGATGGTTCAGCAGTGAGTTTCACAGCCTGTTTGATGTTCACCTAGCTTTGCTTAGGCTCGGGAAGAGCGATTTAAATCGAAGTGCCCGGTTTTGGCATGCATCGACGACAGACTCACTGTGCAGCCTACTCGGGCATTAAACTTGCCAAAGCTCGACGAGAAGTCTGGCAGCAGTGCTTGCGACTGGTCAGTTCTGAAGCCCAGCTTGTCTCGGAGTTGTGAGCGTGTTGCTAGCCACGTGCAGTTCTGGGTGCCGTTGGTCTGGCATGTCAGATGCTCGCTGCTCCATATCTGCAGGACCTTTTGCTTTTGTGCTCGCGCCCGAGTCTAAGGCGCGGTCTTCAGCCCGTTCCTCGGCTTCGGCCACTCGGTTGCTAGATTTCTCAACATGGAGAACGCCGAGATAAGCGTGGACGTAACGAGCTTTACACCGGTTATAAGCCCCGAAGTCTGAAGCCCTAAACTTCCACTCTTCCGCCCGAAGCCTCCCCAGACCCGAGGCAAGAGCCTCGCCGATCCAGCGCAGCCCTCATCGATATCGAGAAGTGGACGAAGAGCTAGGCTTCACTTCATTGCCGATCGGGCGCATCCGGGGCTCCTTCACATGGCAACCCATATGTCAGAAGGTCGCTCTGGGCGTATCCTATCACATGACACGGCCTCAAATATGCACCGCTCGAGACGAGGGGGTGCGCCCATCGAAGGAGACGGCAGCTCTGAAACTGAAAGAGTCACTGAAAGAGGCAACCCTTTCCGATCGAGCTAGTTTGAAACAGTTTTGATCTGTCCGAGAGGCAGCTAACACATGCAGAAATTCCTCGAGACCGTGGCCGGTGGACTTTGGAGATCTTCGCTGGCTCAGCCGGTGCCTGTCTCGTCAGTGGTGGTCAGCAGGTCCTGGTCTTGCCGCCCATGATCGACGTCTGCGTCTCACAGGAAGTCCTGAGGTCCTGCATGGAAGCCTGGAAGCCACCAACGTTCTCGAACTGTTGTGTCATTTTTACAACGTCGGCTTCGATCAATGTGACTCTCCCCCTCTTGGAGGCCAGCCCGTTGTTGTTGTTGGGCAAGACTCGATCGGGCTCCAGCGCCAAGATCTTTGCCGCCCGGATAGTGCAGAATTATCCGACTCATCTCTGCGTGGCTGTGGCCAACGATCTTCTTCTGCGTTGCCGTGGGCGCAGTTGCTCTCCTCCCTGACATCCATCTCTCCGGCTTTCCGATCGCGGGAGAACCCATCGCTCCAGCCGCTGATTCCCGAAGTCGGTCCCGGGTCCCGGTTCAGACCCGTATCTAACGTGGAAAATGTTCTGGCGGGCTCGACGGCGAGCCGAGGTGTCGGAATTTCTCGGGGCTGCAGACTGGATCCCGAAAGTGAGGTCAGAGGATGCGATTTCTAATTTGATCAGCAGGACAGCGGTGCGCCGACAAGCTTCAGACTCCGTCGCCCGACTTCAACGTGGCGGTTCTGAGGGAGCTGCGGACGCGAGTTCCTGGACGAACGGAAGGGGTTACCGACAGATCATCGCAAGCCGCAAGTTCAGCATGGTCAATGGTCTGCTTGGAGTACGTACCGAAGTTCTTACTCCGTGATGATCGGGCCGGGCACTCTTTCGGGCTCTGGCGGCGGTCTACAACCTACAATCGCCGCTTGGCCGCGATGAACGATGTTCTTGCGAAGCTCTTCGAGATGGTCGCTTTCTTATGAAGACAAGTACGGGTTCGAGACTGATCTGACCTCGTGTTCAGTGTTCAGCGAAGCTCGTCACAGTGACGATTCACTTCCTGCTCGGACCGTTGCACCCGTGACCTGGGGAGTCATTGGGAGTGAGCTTTTATCTTGAGCACTTGGTGCTGGAGATCAAAGAGCAGCGCAAGCAGGAGCCCTTGCAGACGATCGTCGTCGACGTTGTCTTGGGATCGAGGACTCTGGATCCAGGGGGGGCCGGGAAGCTCGGAGGGAAACACTGTGCGGAGCCAGCCAGCTCTATCTGGCAAGATTTCGCTTCGGCGCAAAAGTGCTCGGGCGTCGTGATCTTCTCTTGTTTGACAGAAGAGCGGTCGCTCCGAAGCAGTTGTCGGAGGTCGTACTAGGAAAGATTTCTCCGCGATGGTTGGCGTCGGAAGACCCAGATCGTACCGTCAGGATGATGGCGCCGATGAGAAATAATGAAGTTTTTTGATTCAGTCGGAATCGGTAGAGTCTGCGTTGCAACGGCTTACTCTTCTAAAGAGGATCTGTGCGAGCTTGTGGAGTTCTTCTGGGGAGCTCTCGCTCGAGTACGGAATTAAGTTTTCCATCGAGTTTCTACTCTACCGATGCCAAACCTGCTGATTGGCCGTCAACGGATCGCCTTCACATTGCCGAGTCGGCAGGTTGGGAGGGTTCGAGGCTATCTGCGATCGCTTCAAGGATGGTCTCTCGGGCCTGGGAGTTGCTCGGATAGTCGAGAGACTCGCTCGAGACTTCGGTGGGAGATCGGTTCCCGGCAAGGGCTGCTGACCGTTCGCTCGAGCGACTTCGGCGATGATGATTCCGTTCATGAGTTGTCGATCGTCTGGGATTGGAGGGTTCTGTCTTGCTCTCTGTTTGTGCGTCTCTCGTTCACTAATGCCGCTCGACCCCAAGCTCTAGACTGAGTCTCGAGCGGAACAAACAGTTCGTGGTCCGCTTTGCTTTAGGTTGCTGGATTATTCTTGACAGTCTGCCGCGTTACAACGAGGTGCTGGTTCATGTTGATTCAGTAAATGAGAAAATCTGCTACATGCCTTGTCCTAGGCTTGGGCAGCAGTGTCAGTAAAATAGCATAGGATGTGCCTGGGTGGGATGGTTGTGACTTGATTTTGGCTTTGAGTCCTTCCTTGTCATGCTCATGGCAATATTCACGGACAGCCCGAAAAAGTGGGAAAAACCTCAGGTGCATGTGTCCTAATCCTCAACGACCAGACGTGTTCCGATAGAAATTCGTGGCCTTTGAGTGGAACTGACTTGAGGGCAGTTCCTCGGGGACGGCATTGTCTGGACCAGTTGTGGAAAATAGCGGGTGACCCTCAACGAGCAGATTGCCACGCATTGCGACCTTGTGCACTGCCGTGCCGACGGCCTCCTGAAGATGTCGGTTTTCAGCAGTAGTGCAAGTGCAGCGGTCCTGCAGCTGCGCTGCGGTGCTGCTGCAGTGCTAGCCATGAATGTCACAGTTTCAATGTGCTTCAGCGTCCGCACAAGAAAGCCCTGACAAGAGGGAGCACAGAGGCAAGCTCATTTTTGAGTGTGAGCTCTGTGAATCCATGTTAGTCCGGCGTGGTCTGTAGCTCTGAGACTGCCTGGCAACACATCATTGGATGCACAGGTGGACAGTCCTGGGCCGATCCTAGAATGACACAGCAGCAGCTCTGTTAGTCAAAATACTGTGTATTCTTTGTTTTTTATGCGTCGTGCAAAACGCAGACTGGAACGCCGGTGTCCAGCCCGGACCTTTGTTGGAAAGTAGCGGGAATGTAAGACGTTCCTGCAAGCTCAAGTCCAACTGACCTCGATGTGCCGTGTGTACAGTGTTTTTCGCGGCCTCATGCTCTAGGGTGGGCCAAACGTGGCGTTGATGTTCAAAACCTTGTGACGATCAAAGTTGACCAGGCTAATTCGTTCCAGTAAAGACTCAGTAAAGCCTTCCTTGACGTGGGTGGTTGTGTCCGTCAAGCCTACATGTAAATCTACATGCTGCATGTAAACCTACATGTAACCCAATGTAAATGTACATGTAAATGTACATGTACATGTAAAGTACACGTAAATGTACATGTAAATGTACATGTAAATTTACATTTAGATGTACATGTAAATGTACATGTAAACGTACATGTAACCGTACATGTACATGTAAATGTAAATGTACATGTAAATGTA